AATATTACAGATGGATCAAAAGAAGGGAAATACCGATGGCAAGGGAAGTGCTATAAGCGGTAAGTTAACGTAGTGCCTTACAGCCATATAAAGGTGGATATTGCTCAGTTAAACGTATGTAGCTAAAGAATAAAGATTAATATTGTATGTGCAAAAGTACGTTTCTTATTGTGACTATGAGTAATGCGCATAAAAGAAAATGTTAGCCGTACTATTTAGAGAATTTGTATGAGCCGTACAATAAAAAAAGATACCAATACTTTTGATATATTACACAGTACTCAAACTGAGTATAAAAATACGAAAACGCTTGTGATGAAAGTAGGTCAATATAAGTAAAATTGTTTTAAATCATATAAAAACATGAAATGGTATATGAGAGCAATGCAAACATTTTTCAAAATATTGACAATTTATAGGGGAAATTTTTTTAGTACAATTAGTCCGTTCAACGGAAATCACTTGAACATAGCAGATGTGTATAACGCTAACAATGTTCCGTCATTGAGTACACATTGAAGGATATTCGTATAAAACGACATTTAAAATTCATCGAAACTCGTAATAGTACTCAGAATATTTAATCATAAATGTAATTGCAACAAACTATTTAAAATATTGTTGTCCGAGTAAACACATGTTACCTATTAAAGTCGTGTCTAATATGTGTTGCTAGTAATGATCTTGTACGACAGCTTTTACTAGTGAACTATGGCGACGAAAAACCTTTGGAGATTTAAATAATTTGCAATAATTTATATAGAGTTTTCTACTTTGATACAAGATCAACTTAACTTCTCCGGTAAAATATTTTATTCAAATCATCCTGATAAAAAAATTTCCATTCGGCAGAAAATTACACCAATAAAATATAAGTATAAGTCAGATAAATTCCTACTGCTGCTTCAATTCAATCTTTCGAATTTAATCCATGAATTATAAAATAGTAACTTTTGCATTTCGAGCATCAAAACGCAGATTCAGAAATGTTAATATATTTATTTGACCGTAACGCTGTTAATATTTTATACATTTCTGACTGCATTAAATATGAGCCTCGAATAGAATTGTCCGTATATAATACAATATTAATATGCATAATTTGCAGATAAGTTACGCGTTCACTCGGCAGTTTTCGTTATTCACTTTTTTACAAAACCTGTTCTGTCGTTGAAGTTTTTTATTTCAACTATTGTATCAGAAATGGACTTTTGCTTTAAAAGCTTTCGTTGATTTTTTTTTTCGTTCGAGTGCCGTTAAATAATTAACAAAATAGCAAAACGTTTTTCCTACATGAATATTTTAATGGCTTCGCTTATTTAAACATTAATTTTAATAGAAATTGTTATCAAATTTAGCCAATCTAAGCTAAACTAACATACCAGATGGATTCATTAAAAGAAATAAAATCAATATCATTTGGATATAAAATCGTAACACTTTATTGTCTGGATGTTCGTGAAATGTTGTGTCATCTACATTTTTTCGACGAAAGATACATATTTAAAAAAGTTAATTGATCAAATGTAATTGATTTTAAAACAATTGATGACGCTCAACATCAAACAACTATATTTGAAATTTGTCATTTGATCTCGCTGGATTGTGTAAATACAGAATTTTGATACTGGCATTCGATATTATTAAATATAACTAAAACTCAAGGTTAGTCATTAAGCACGAATGGATCTTTGGCTTGTTGTACAAGAGCAGTTAAATGGTCATAAAAACGCACATTTTTTTCCATGAACAACGATCATAAGTATGGCATAGTTATTTTCAATAAATAATTTCGAGCACATGACACTTAACGCTTAAAAGCCAAAGCCTTACTAAGCACCGCCGGAGCGTACAAATTTATGAATACATAACGTTTGAAATAAATTCTAAAAAAATAGAGACCCATAAAAATACACGTTTTGCAAAATAAACCTATAATATTCTTTATAGTTAAAATAATCTGGTAAAAATATTATGTCAAATAATGTTGTCAATTATGACAGTATAAAAACAACAATTTAGATGCCAAGGTATTTGTACGCACATGTTTCATGGTAAATATTACGACAATAATCAAGTACACAAAGTTGTAATAAATATTTTATGTGTAATGGCATTGAATGCAGTTTTTATCCTTCTAAACACGCGGCCGTACACTTGTGAAATTAAATCACACAGCGCTATTTATGATTTCTTTTATTTTTATTTTAAAAACGCTCTTAACTGCTGACGATGTCATAAAAAACACAACTGAACGTACGCAAATCGTACTAACCCCTAACGGGTAAAATGGCGACAGTCTGGCAGTAACTCAGCTAGACGACGTTATGCGTTGTTTACGGGAGTTGTCATTGTTTAAATGCACACACATAACGTTTTCTGCGTTCCCTAGGTGTGCCTTGGCAAATTTTGCTTGTGCAAATAAAACAACGGTCATTTTAATGAGAGTAACGGTCTCGTTTGCCTTTTTTCATCCACTGAACTCGGACGACCATATCCTGAATACTCGAAAAAACATTAAAAACCATATTACCCACCTATTTATTATGCACTTTCTGCCCGCTTTGGCGCTCTCCATTGTATAATCATAATAGTATAGTTAGTTTTTCCATTAAATCCGAAAAGGCGTACAAACCCAGCCGAATGATTAAATTAAATGGTAATTTAAATAGCTTCGCATATAAAAACGGCATATTACATTTAATAAGTAAAATTGTAATGGACTACAACGTGAACTTAAGCTCTATGAACGGAATACGTTTTCAAATATGACACATATTCATCTGAACGTCTAATAAATCATGACTAAACTAATAAATAATTTTTACGGGTTTCAGACAATTTTCTGAACTAAGTCTGGTGTAACTATAGAAAAAAAAAATGCTTGGTGGGAGTAAAATGTCTCCACCCGCGTTATAATCCGTGTTTTTTGGTGCATAACGCAATATTTTATGCCGTTTGCCACACAGACTTAAACACTTGTAAATGCAAATTCTTAAATACTCGAGTTGTGTTGGCCAATAAATTGCAGTTTCTAATGGCCTACACATTTGTTGTCCATTTGTTTTTAATTACCTCGTCCGTAACTGTTCGCAAGGACAAAATATGAAGCTCAATTTGTAGCAAGTTTTCTACTAATAATAAAAAACAACTTTAACTACACTTGCCGTTTGAAATCCTATTTAATGATTACATCGTGATATTTTCACACACAAAACTTAATTAGATTCTAAAATAAAGTCGTACAATTTATGTTTTAGAACAATCACGATTTGTAACAGTTTCAAAGTATTTAACGGGCATTTATTGGGAATGAAACCATTTAAATTTTAAAATGGGAATTATATTTTAACGGCCAGTACAGTTATGAATATAAATAATTGCGCCATACAAACGTTTATAATTTACTCGTCAAAGACCTTTGAAAATAATAAAAAACACTAAATGTTACGCGTAAAAGTAAAATGAATACTATCGAATTTGAAGTTTTTATGAACTAAGAAAATAATATATTACTCGTCCTGGTGGTATTGTAGTAACGCAAGCAAAGTTATACTGTCAACGGATTACAACACATATTTTACAGCCCCGGGAGTTATGGATATTGCATTAAAAACCGGTAGTACGTCCCGAAGAAAGGAAGGGACGACGACGTAACAGTGCACACGGGGATGTTTCGTAATTCAATGAAACACGTAGATTGCACGTTATTACAAGGGGAGGGGGACAGATTTAGTGTCCATAACTTTGTTAGTTACTGAATTTCGCCATTAATATATTGGACCGAGGGTGTTGCATTAATAGCGTTTCATTTAATTGTCCGTACCCTTTAATAAAACAATCGGTTAACAGTTTTTACCGTGGCATTTCGTGGACGCGGTTTTGACGCGATAACAACAAAGCGTTCGGTGAAGATTTGCTCACGAAAATACTAAAAACTTTACAACTAAATAATTTGTATCGGAATAGCAAATAAAAGTCACAGGTCAAACACATAAACAATACACCTCGTATTAATAGACTTGCCATAAAAAAAATACTCAACTCGGTAGAGGTTACACTATTAATTTTTTGTCGTCGCACGCAGTCGACTGATCGTTAACCAGATCTTTACAAAACGTATGTCGTCGCCCACGTGTCATCAGTAATTATTTAATTTTTCAATTATGTCAGACGTTTATTTTGTACACTCGCATGCAGATAAAATAAGGCGTTCAAACGTGTTTTTTCACTTGGCCATTTCGTTCGTCTTTCTACAAACTAAGGACGATTTAAAATTCTCCTAAACCTCGTCAAATACTGTTCTGCAATCGGCTTTCGGTGTATTGTTTTCTCAAATACCGCATCCCTTTACTTCACCGCTTTCTACACGATCACGTTCATTCCCATAATCCTACTGCATATACTTATAGCTGTTACGTTGCCATCCACCTTCCTATTGTCCGTTCGTTCCTAACACGTCTAAAGTGTACGTTTTAATGCGTTCTAACCGTATGCGTGTGTCGGAAACTATGTTAAACACACGGATTCCTTCGAAATCCCATCGATTTTTAACAGTTTTACCCGGAACGATTCTGGTCGTGTACGTTGTATTCCGAACGTAAAACTGTTACCAATTAAATAACGACTGAGTAAATCGATGAAGATTTTCCAAATGCTAAACGGCTTTCGTTTAGCGTCGAATCATTGAATCCAACTTCAATTAACAATATAATGGGAAAATCTATAGACGCATTAAACAGTAATCAAATCATCAGAACAATTGTCCGTCTTCCAGGTTGAATTAGAACATCGTTAAGCAAATTACGAGTCGTTAATAAGGATGCTCGTTAAGTCGATCGGTGCACGTCATTGACGACAACGATTGTGCCAAACCAGTGACGACCAAAACAGTATCGAATGTGATGTTTTCGCGTATCGGCACCCAATAATTCGGTATAAGGCAACGCCCCCCGAGAGTACGACCGGCCGCAGGAGCATATGGTCTAACGCCACCTCAGCGTTGCTGTTAGTCCGCGTCTATCGTCGGCCGCGTTGGGGTGTTCGTACTGTCCGCGTCGCTGTGTGCTCGTTTGTTTTTTACTTATCGCGTCCGAAATTTTCACCGTAAAAATCGTATCGTCAACAACACTGGCCGTGTACATTTTCTTTAAATCGCGTGGATACCATTTTCCGAGTGTTCGAATAACATTGGAATTATTATTGTAGTGAAAACTGTGCGCGCGTCCTTCGGGAAGAGTTACTTTTGAGCTGACGTTAATAAAAACAGGCGCTGAACAATTGGTGAGTTAAAAATAATTGTACAAAAATATTCGCTGGTTATTTTCATATTTGTCGTGGTCGAGACAATGAAACTTCTACTTAATAACGTATTAATAATTTAACGACGTCGGTGTATTAATGTGCCTTATGAATTTTTTATTGTTATCAAACGGACATTTCGACGTTATTAACGATTAAATTATTATTAGTGTCGTCCGGCATCATATTAGTTACTATTTTTTTGTCGACGGTTTCGGCATTGCTTGTGCGCGCAATTCAAAATTAATTCCCAACGTGTTCACTTTGCGGTCGTTCATTGTAAATAGCCGCTCGCTGTACGGCACAAAAATGTCCAATAACCGACACGGGATAACAATAGAATAAAAAATTATTTACGTTAACATCCATACCGAGAAATAGAATCCTTCGAAGCCTTACGCGTACAATTATTACACACATCCTGCAAATTAGGCAGTGAAAAATCGATACGCTGGAAGCACTTGAATACGGCAGGTTGAAGGTATAGAGTGTAATGTTTATCTATTAAACCTATTCTCACCTCGGACGTATCTTCTTTTTCAATATTCTCTATTCCAACTCTGTGTTTTAGAGGCAAATTAAGAGAAACGCTATATAATACCTCCGGAACCAATTCAATTACACTCTGAGCGCAAAAACCGCCGGTGCCTTCGAGTTAACCGATTCCATTTCAACTTTTTTCAATTACCTATGTACATGAAACGAACAAAAAATTGATTGTATTTTAACGATCGACTTGTAGAAATAATCGTCTGTTCGATTAGTAGTTATTTTCCGTTGAATTTCTGGCCGATGTATTACAGGAACTTACCTGAAATTGATCGTTAGTAATCGTTTATATATTTACAAATCGGACCGTTTCGGTTAAATTTTTATATTATTCGACTAAACTCTGTTTTCTCTAGACGTTTACACTATTTTACATAACTAGCTCGTATTACCAAATCAGAAAATTTTATTAACAATCAATTTACAAAAATAATTCAATGTCTTTTGTCATGCAAATCGTATTCGTTGTATAAAAATGTCTTTTAGCGGTACGTTGGCGACACACAAATGAACACTTTGAAATTAACTCCTAAAGTATTATTGTACCGACAGAGCTCCTTATAATTACAAACGAAATAAATTACAATAATTGTCGCGCACGTCTAGTAATTTGCACGTAAATTTCAAAACTTCGCCATTGATATTCTCATAGCATAGTAACAATAAGGTGTAAAGAATCAAAGAAACAATTTTAGAACTGACTACCGTAATGATCAAAGCCCACCGATTATAGACACGCTAAATAATCTATTACGTGACAATTATTTGTACACACGAGTCATGATGTTCGACTTTAATCAATACTCTACGCCGATTCGGATGTCTAGCAGAAAATGTTTTTTAATCAAGTCGACAACAGCCCAGTCAAAGGATTTTATTCTCTAATAGCGAAAGCTTGAAAAATTTCCGGTGCTTCGTAATATCGAAATATTATTTCCAATATTAAAATACGAATAGAACACTGACTGAGCTTAAAGCACGCGCACAGACTATGCTTTGTAATCAACATACATACATAACCTCCGTTAGAAGAAAAACCATCATAATGAAGGTTCAGGTAGTGAACATTATTACTGTCGACAAAGGAAAAATGAAATTTAAAAAGGAAAATAATAGTATTATATTTTCTTTGTAGTCATGGCAAAATTAAAATATCTTATACAGTATGTGCAAACCGAACACATGAAACACATGGTTCTTAAAACATAATATTTTTTTTACAAATATACTCGCATTTTTTTTAGTCGAGCTCGTACCTTGTATTTGCCTGAGTATCACGAAAACGTCGAGATAAACACATTTCGTGAGTATACGGGTAACTACTATTATTACTGTTTTTTTTTTCGATTCCAATCTATACACATTTGGACTAGATTAGAATACTGTTTGTGATGTGGCCCTAAGCAAATAGCCGTTACTCAGTTTGACTGGTATACGGAAACCCGAGATAAGTGACCAAAGTGTCAACGAGATCGTCGTTATCAAACTTAACATTCACACCCAGACCGATTGTTCACTGTACCTAGTATGTGTTTTGTACAACTCAACAAAAGCGACCAAATTTTCTAAAACTCATATACCGGGTGTGGTTAAAAACGATCATGCGGTAACGATTGTACAATGAAGGTGAAGCAAATCCTCGACAAACGCTCATCTCAATGGAAAGTATAAAACATTGTTTTACACCCAAGTGTCGTGGGTATTTGTTTTAGCTTGGTCGATTTAATAACATAAGTAGTATTTAGTAGGTTATGCCGGTCGCCTTTGCTGCTTGTTTCTTCACTACAAAAAGCACACTTTCAGTTGTTTATATTATTTATATTATCATAACGACTCTAATTACACTACTCAGAACAAACTGGTATAAAAGTTATGTTTTTTATTACGCCATAATAATTATTGCCATTAGGTACGCGCTTCACGTACTTCCAAACTTTCGCAGCAACCACGTCACTCGTACTATAAAATTAGTGTCCATTGAATCGTGCTTCATTGTTTGAACGTTTAAAAAATGTAATAGGTGCTATTATTTTGCTGTCGTGAAGCTGCTGAACAAAGACCTATCGTTATGGTGCATACTTTACACGGGTATTTATTGATTAGTTGTATTGTCGCTTCGGGTTAGATGATGATTGGCGTCCCAGTGTATTTGTCTGTGAAGAATAGGAAGAGGATCTAGAACTGTGCCCGATAGGCGTATTACTCATGACGAATTGTACTTTTACCACAAGTGCTTGTATTTACTACCTTTATAACGTACCTATAAATTGGTCTGTTTTAAGTAGAACAAGAAATCCAAGTCTGTGGATCCGATGCTCGAGCTTTATAATTAAACTAACGAATAACCATAAAATAATAAGCTCACAGTGGTAACGCTTTAAAACGACCGATAGAAATTTGGTTATGTGTAGTGATGATTTCGGATCATTCACTAGTAAACGGTAAGCGCCTGTCTCTGTCTACTTGGAAATATTTTTTTAGGACTCAAGATGTCTTAATGGCCGAATTTAAGTTGTTGTGCAAAAAGTGGATTGGTAACATGTCTTCGTATTTAACGATCACTGAAGGTTGACATCTGTGTAATTTTGTTTCTTTTTTAGATCGTTTAATATTCGATAAAGCACTTCTAATTACTTACGCCGTGTTCAATAGCGCTTTACATGTTGTTGGCTTCTACGTTTTTGCATTATATTTTATCGGTGCCGATTCCGTACAAATTTTACGTTATTCGTTTGCCGTCCGATTAACAAATGTTTGCTTAGACGTTGGCGAGTAGTGACGCCGAGTTCTATTTAAACCCATTAAATTCTATCATAGTTCACTATTGTTTTAAGCTTCATGTTCCGGTGGATATCTATCATTGACATATTATGAATAATGCATATGTCATATGCGTATCTCTTGTACAATTAGACCATCTCAATTGAACAATTACACAAATACCGTGCTGCACGTATGTGTAATATTGTTATTATTATTATTATTATACGGCTTAGCGTTGTGTGGGCTGCATAGTATTTTCATATAAATATAATGTTGCACCTTATCTGAGCCGAGTGCGTGTGCGTAGATTAGTGAAAGAAAAACTTGGTGTTTACCGTCTGACGCCTTTGTCGAGGGGAACTCGAACCTTGAGCTAATATTTGTACTCTTAAGACGACACTTCTCGGATACGATGATCAACTCCAATGGAATAATATCTAAAACGAATATATACATTATAGACAAACAAAATTTTATTGGAATAGATGCACTGTGTTTGAATTTTATTAGTTTAGTTTTACTGTTTTTACGAACTAATACTTAAGAATAAATACCACGAGTGATAAATTCCTCGGGTCCAGCAGATACTGTAGTAATAGTATAAAATAAATGTTTGACTCCCTCGATAAAATTTTACATTCCTAAATGCATAAAAACTTGTAAAATATATTTCCTTATGAAGTTTAAATAATACCTATTCGCCGTTCTTGGTTCCGCTAGGAACTGTTAGATTTTGCTAAGATGCATTGTAATATCGATCGGAGCTTCTATCTATTTCTCGTTTGACCCATTTGAACGATTCCTACAATACCTTTTAAAGTTACATGATACGCCTGTATGAGAATTTTGCTCGGGTTTATTTGACCTGAGACACTGTAACCGTAAATGTGAATTTCGATGCAGCACAGATCCAGAGCCACATTGAACCAATGGAGCGATAAATCCGTGATTTCATTTGAACATCAGAACGCCGTAAGAGGACACCCAATCGCGACCTATAATCTTGTCGTTTCGTATTTTCATGTTTGCCATTTTCTATCACTGCGTATGATCCAATGATAATGTTTATGATCCGTACCATAGCGAGTACGTCTTCGATTTACTGACAAATAATAATTTGTCAATCGGAGAGCTGCTTTCGAGCTATTTTAGTTCGTCTGGCGCTCGTTTAAAACAAATCACTGCATAGCCCGCAAGGCGTATCTTTCCGTTACCATAGCCTCTTAATTAGCCAGAATGATTGATGAGTTGAACCTGAGAATTGTAAGAAAACACTGGAAACGTACCAAAAATACACAGTCAACCGGCGATACACACACTTTCCCACATCACAATGTATGCGCCGCTTTAGCGTTTGTGTCCGCCGCCAACGCCATTGTTTCATACCTTTATTATACACCTTAGCGTATACTTTCATTATGCGTTTTTTTACGATGATCGTAAAACTGTTTTCTGGTGCACACGATGTTTTGCTCGAGGCAAAGTCGTCGGGCGTTACAAAATTCTAACATAAAATCACTAGAATATACTATTATATTGGTCAACCCTCAGTTGGCGTTAACAGTAGTGCTTTTTTTTTTTTTTTACTACGCTATTCTACAGGCTATTTTAGTATTTTTTCCTGATGAACTGCAACGTTTATATATTTTGTTATCGCAATAAATAATTTA